GCCTCCATTTTATCATCTGTAAAAGGAAGACAATGAAAATCCCTGCCCCTCCAAGTGTCATCGCAGGTGGATTCAATATGATATGTACATAAAGCACACAACACACTGGAGCGGTAGCAGTCAAGATGGGGTTTGCATTTCCACGCTGGCGTTGGAGCGGTTGGCAATTAGGAGGTCAAGCAATGCTGCCAGATGAGCCCTGACTTTGGAGTGGAGGGAGTGGGGAATCCCAAGTAGCTCAGGCTTCCAGAAAAACCTGAAGTTCTGCCAGAAGCAAAATTCCCACACATACAATTTTCGGCCAGTCCCCAGATCTCCAGTGCAAACATGAGCGCAGAACAGGGCTCATCAATGCAATGCTTTCTTCTGGTAAACCTCCCCAGAGTGGAACCCCCAAAAGCGGCCCAGAAACGAGAGCAAAAGGAAAGGGACGGCTGCCCTGTAAATCAAGAGCCATTGCTTTTCTGAATGAGACTAGTTACTTAGTATCTAAGGGGGAGTGGGGCGAAGAAATACGTTGTATTTGTGACAATGACTTATTTGGGCCAGGATAAGGAGACCAAGCTGAGAGTCGCCACATGGTGGATTCTATCAATTCCCAAAACCAAACCAAACTCACTGCCCTTGAGTCAGCTCTTTCCCATGCACAGGGACCCCCTGCCCCACTGCTGGTAAATGAAGCCATGTTGGCTGAGTTGAGTGTCGTGAATGCGGTTCTTCCAGCACTGAGCCCCCGAGTGAAAAATCCAGAACCCGGACATCAATAGATACCTCAAAATAATATTTGTACATTTGAAGTGAGTATGCTTTGCTGTCTTTTAACTTGCTTAATTCAAAGATTCTTCTTTCACGAGGAACTTTTTCTAAAAAGCTCTTAGAAGGTCCACCACTCCTCCATGACTCAGAGTTAAGTCTCCTTACAGGAGAATCAGTGCATTTTTCTCTATATGGAATACCTGTCTAGCGGGTCAAGATTAACCAGTTACTGGAGTCATGTAGGTCATTATATCCGCAAAGTTCTCCACCCAGGAGGAAACCTCTCAATGATTTTAGAGTGTCCAAATTCACTTACGAAATTATCTGGGAGTCGTCTTTTATTTCTGCCTCCCTGATTCAAAATCTCCTTCTGCTGAATAACACTGCATCGTGTGTTGTGCATGCACTTGAAAAAGAATTATTCTCAGGCATAAGAAACGAAGACTTGAATGTACAGTGCTTAAGGGCTGGGTGGCTAGCTGGATGGTTGATGGTTTAAACCCACCAGCCACCCAGAGAGAGAGAGAGAGTGAGAGAGAGAGAGTCATGAGGCAGTGTGCTTCCATAAGATTTACAGCCTGTAGGGCAAGTTTGACTCTGCCCTGTAGGATTGCAATGAGAAGAAATAGTCTCTACCGCTATGGGTCTGGTGTGATTTTCTCAGAAATCAGGCTTGGTGAGAGTTTATCAGTAATCAAGTTCATAGTAAAAACAAAAAACACTGTTTAATTATCCAGAAACAACTAAAATGGAGACCTCACTCTAGCCCAGTCATTGTCAACTTGTGAACCCAGAGCAGCAGTAGCATCAGCATCTTCTGGGAATTTGTTTGATGCATCCCATCTCGGACTCTGCCCTCTGCCTACTGAATAAGAAACTCGGGTGGGCCCCAGCAAGCTGTGCCTTGGTGACAGGCTGATTCTGGTGTGCCCAGAAGCTTGAGAAGCCTCACCTACCCAGCTCTGCAAAAAGCAGTTGAGGCTGCAGGACCCTCTTGACAGAATTGTGCACACAGCTAAACTCAAGTGACTATTTAATCTTCCCTCATCCCCCTGCCCAAAGGAGCCCTGGTGGTGCCATGGTTTAAGCGCTGGGCTGCTAACTAAAGGGTAGTTGTTTCAAACCCACCAACTGTTGTGTGGTGAAGAAAATAAGTTGGATTACAGGCGGAAGATGAGGATTTACATTGCTCAAAACCCCAAAGGAGCACTTCGATTCCGCCCTGTGGGATAGCTGAGTCAACAGCAGTACTTGGTTTGGGTGCTGAACTCGCGCCACTGCCCAGCATGGCAGCCCTCTTTTGTCCCCCATGGGCCATCATAGTCATTTAAAAGCAAAAAGTTTGTCTGTTCATGTATTTTATGGAATAGATGACCTTTCCAAGAAAAGCAATTGGTCTGTATAAGCTCATGATCAAACCATTGCTATCAAGTCAATTCCAATACACAGCAACCCAACAGGACAGAGAAGAACTGCCCCATGTGTTCCCTGGGCTATAATCTTTATGGAAGCATGCGGTCATGCCTTGCTCCCGTGGATGGGCTGCTGGGCTTCTCCCACAAGCCTTTTAGTTCTCAGCAGAGTGCTCAAGCTGCACTCCACTAGGGCTCCTTGGGGGAACATACTCAGTTAAAACATCAGGACATCTTGGATTGAGGAAATATGACAGCCCTAAGTGCCAAGATGTGCTTCATTGCCAACAGTGGCTATTCTAGTTCACTTTACAACCTGTTTCTGGACAGGATTTAAGAAAGGTAAGCAGAGATTCAAGTGGCAAGGGAGCTGTCATCTCGCAGGCACAGATCTGGCCCCGACTTCACTGAGCATCCATTCTACGTGTTCTGGTACCTCCTAGATGTAGAGATGATAAATAAAGTCGTCCACAAGTACTACGTATGGGTGGTATTGACAAAAAAGCAATGGAAGTAGAGGCTGACTTTCATTTCTGAGTCACAGATCTTGGTTTTTTTCAAGGAAATATCCATCCCAGTTGAGACTGCCAGTGCCTCCAGGGCAACCTGTAGGGCATAACATCAAAGGCCAGCTTGTGAAAACATTGAGACACACAAAACTTGTCACCTTCCATTCCCCAAGGGAACAAAAGCGTTGCTGAGTGCCAGGGCAGGCACACATTTGACATCACGTAAATTCGTGCCATTCTTAGGTCATTTGATTCTTTACATTTAAGCGTTATAGCATCAAAGAAAACATCCAATAAACTGAAGCCTCTGCCCAAAGCAGCAGACTACAAACTTTACTGAGAAAAGCCTTTGAAAAAAAAAAAAAAAAAGCCTTTGTAAAATGTGGCATGTCTATTCAATGGGATATCATTCAGCCAGAAAAAGCCAAGAAAGCACTAATGCATGCTACAACACTAAAACCTGGAGGGCGGGGCATAGTATGCTAAGGGAACAGAGACAGGCACAAAATACTTCATATTACGTGGCTCCTTTTCTACACAATGTCCAGAAGAGGTCAATTTTTAGGGAGAGCAAGCAGATGAGTGGCTGCTACGGGTAGAGGGAAACGGAATGACTCCTTAGGAGTCTGGAGTTTCTTTCTGGAATGTTCCCTTTTGTCTAAGGAGCATTTCTTTAACATGTTCGGCAATTAGTTAATGACAATGGTTGCACAACTTCAGGCTATGCAACCAGACCGCCAGCTTTAATTTTTAAAAGATGACTTTTGTGAAACAGGGCTCCTATCTCAATTAAAAACTAATCTGGCAATATACTCCGCGTAGGTGGCTTTGAAGACCTACAAAGCAATACTTGCCCACTTCCTTCCCTCCAGAGTGAGATCTGTACTCTTGTTACCTGAACGATAAAACAGGAAATCGATCCACAATAAAGACAAAAACACATCTAAGTCCAACAGGTGTGTGTCCGAACACAGGAGCACGTTTTAAAAATGTCATTTCCTCTGCCAAGTCCCCTCTCCTTTCAGAGCCAACCAAAACCAGAGACTCCCCTGCACGCCCTACAAGTCATCTGCGGACACCACCTGCCCCGGAGCATCTTCACACAGCAGGGAGATGTAGAGCATACTCCTGGAGCGGGTGAGCGGTGGGCAATTATCACCATGTTCAAAATGCAATTCTCATTAGTTGGAACATGAACCTGATTTCTGCTAGGAGAGGTTGCTCTGCCAAGTGCAGCTCCATCTATTGGATGAAAATGTAGGTTAATATCCCCTTGCTTAAAACCCATCTAAAATGAAAGAAGGGCTCTTCCATGCCTGAAAAGTGCTAAATATCTGTATTTCCCACATTAGGCACAACATGTGCGGGCTTTCAAGGAAGCCGAAACAAATGCTTCCGTATCTATTACAGTCCATCATGATCGAAAGAGATGCTGAAAGGGCGGGTAGGGTGGGGGGCTGTGAGTCTTATCTTTTTTGAAATGTAAAAATTCCCAGATAAGGATCTTGGAGAAGATGATGAGGGTGGGGGGCGGGGTGGGATGGGGTGCCTGCTTGACTAGGAGAAAGGAAACAGGACTCTGCATCCCAGATAAATATTCTACTTGGGGACTCCAGAGCACAACCTCACTCAGTACTGTATTGAATGAGGAGGGGGCTGGAAGGTGGTTCGGGAACAAATCTATCAACCTGAGGCTCTCCGCTGACTTTGGCAGCAGTGGTAATACGCTGATAGAGATTTGATTGAAACTGCCCCCAGCCCCCCTATACACACACTTCCTTTTAAAGTACCTGCCCGGACTTGACCGTGACTAAATGAAAAGTACTGAAAAACACTGAAAAGTCAGGTTGGTGCTTGTTTCGGTTGCTACTTTTCAGGTGTGTGCGTGTGTGACACGTGTATTTTTTTTTTTTTCACTTAAAACCACAATGCCTGTAGCTTGAAAATGAACACAAATGCGAGAGTGGATTGCCCCCGCCCCTCACCACAGCCACCTTTGTATTTCTGGATAGTTATTCAAGAGAGGAGTGGCGGGAGCTGACACGATTAGGAACCCCCCCTCTCCTGGTGACCCCAGTAGGTACTCCACCGGTAGATGGCAGGTAGCGGAGCTCGAGGCTGGAAGGGGGTGCTTGCTCCGGAGACTGACTCCACTGCCGCCACCGGCACCGCGGGATCGAAGTTGATGGTCCCCCACTTTCCTGCTTGCTACATGGCGACCGCGGCAAGCGGTTCCGACCATGAGCCCCCCCGCCCCGCCCCCGCCGCCGCCCCATCCCACCTCGCGCCCTGGGACGAAGCTCCCCGGGGTCTTCGCACTCACCCAGGCGGCACACACACAGGAGCTGGAGGCAGGCGAGGAAGCACTTTCCGGGGAACATTTCGAGGCGGCCCGGGGGCCCCGGGACTTCTCGGGGTGAAGAGGGAGGGGAGCGGCTGGGACGCGCTGTGCGATCTTGGTGGGCGCGGGAGTGTGCCCGCGGGGCCGAGGAACCGAGAGGCGGGCGCGCGGTCGGTGGGTGGGAGCCGGGAGCCGCTAGCCCCGGCGCATGCTGCCGGGCGGGTGTCGGTCTCCGTCTCCGGCGGCTGTCGCTGTGCTCTGAGCGCTGGGAGCGCAGGGCTCCAGGTGCCGGGGGCGCGCGTGCGCGAGCCGAGTTGTGCCCGCGCTGCGCACGACCGAGATGCGCGCGCGCGCGCGCTCGGGGAGGGGACCGGAGGGGGCGCGGCTGGCGCACCCGGGCGGGGTCCCGCCGAAGCTAGTCACCCGCCGACACCCCTTCGCTCCGCCCTCACCCCGCGGCTTAGCCGCCCTCCGGGATTTAGAATCTCCACGGAGAAAAGGTCTCTTCGTGAAGACGCCTTCATCCCTTTGGAAGGAAGAGGAAGCCAGACCCCCATTGTCCCGCACAGCCAGAGGTGGACCCCTGGGAATGTTTTTCAGCTTTGTGCCCTCCTTGTGGGGTTCAGTCAGAAAGGAGTGAGGGTGTCAGGGCAAACTGGCCCCGGACCCCTTCTTTCCATTTTTCCAATCACTGAAGTTGGGCCAGACTCCATTACCTCTGGAGCAGTGGACGCCAAATAATGTCCACCGCCCCGGGGGACCACTCTGACCTTGCCCCGCAAAATCATGCCCCCCCCCCCCACCGGACCACTCTGACCTTGCCCCGCCCCCAGACCCCAATCAAAGGTCCTGCTGGGCACAGCTGCCCTGGCGCCTCACAGCATGGTACTGGACCGCCCCATCGGAACGACCCAAAGGTCTCACTCAATCTACGTGAAAAAAAAATTTTTTTTAATTGCACGCTTGAAGTGTTTGCAAAAGACGTTGAATACCCCTGGACAGCTGTTGGCACACAGCTGGAAACGCCAGGCTGCACGTTATCGGTGGATCTGTGCAGACAGACCATGGGCCCCTCGACTTATTCAACTAGTATAGCCGCGACTTCAAGCATAGTGCCCCCCAAATAACGAAATAAATCTGAAGGTGTTCTATACCTGTTTCTTGAATTCATATGAAGGCAGACTGAAATGTTGCAACAGCAACTGGTGGGATCTTCCCTGCGGGTGAGTGCTCCCACCGTGCAGTCCCACAGTGCTGGCTTAAAGATTTGCACTGCTGTGGGATTTGTTTACTCTTCGTGTGTTGGTTTTTTTACTTATATGAGACTCAATTTGGAGACTTCCAGGAATCCACTCTCAGAAAGGCAGCTCAGTTCTGGAGCTATCCCCGTGTGCCTAACAGCCGTTTGATCTAGATAACCGCGCTGCATACCCTCTGCGGTGGTATCCTCTTTGGCAGTGTTCTTGCCTCCAAAATGGTATTTTAGCTTACAAAATGTAACAGAAACCTTACTGCATTACAAAAGGAGCCCTGAATGTCTTCCACATGTTCTCTCCAATATCTGTAGTCTTTGAACACTTGGCTGAATTTGCAGAACTAATGATCCAGTTTGCTATTACTTCAGGAACTGATTATCAACATGTCATATCAACTTTTAAATCACTCTAAGCTGTTTATTCAGGAGCACACAAATATTAAGAACTCAACCCTTCATCTCAATCTTCCCATGAGCTGAAAACAGAATCCTGTCACTTTTACAGGAATTATGATAGAATTGGTGCTTGCTGAACAAGGGGCTCAAACACAACTATTGTGAGGATGGCATGGGACCAAGCTGTATTTTGTTCTGCTGTATACATAGACGCTCTATGAATTTGGAACCGACTTGAGGGAACCTAACAAGAACAGGAACAATATACTAATTTCCACTTTGGATGAAATATTTTTAACCCTTTCTACCAGCAAAATAAGAGGTATTTCTAAACTAGACATGTAAAGGGAGTTCAGAGAAAATGTCTCCATGCAGCCCCTGGGAGGTAAACATTCACTTTATGAATAATCTTACTTGTCCTTTAATGCTAGGCCGTATTACGATGAGTTTGAAATGTTTGTCCCAGCCCCTAAGATTGCTTGCAACCTTGCAGGACAAAGTAACCCTACTCCCCGTGGTTTCCAAGGCTGTACAGTTGTATTAGAAGCCAAATTCCACATCTTTCTTCTATGGAGTGGGTGATGGGTGGGAGTCTTCAGCCTCTTGGTTTATAAGCAAGCACTTAATCACTGTATCACCACGCCTCCTTGAGCTAAACCCTCCTCAACCATGTCTTGATTAGGATCACCTTCACTTATTGCACACCTAGCTTTTAAATCATTGAAAAGTCTTCTTCAAAAACCTCTCCTTACACTAAAATAGGGCTAACTAAGAACCACCTGTTCCAATTTCCTGGAGCCCTGGTGATGCAGTGCTTATGTGTTGGGCTGCTAATCTCACAGTCATCAGTTTGAATCCACCAGTCACCACTCTACTGTGATGAGACTTTCTACTCTTGTGAAGAGTTACAGTCTTGGAAACTCACACGGGCAGTTTCTACCTCCTCTGTAGAGTCACTAGCAGTTGGAATAGTCTTGATGGGATTGAATGAGTTCCTCTTTCCAACTCAGTTACAAATTCCACCTAAAACCTTAAAGACCTATGAATGGATCTTGTTTGCAACCCAGAGGCTGGGGGTCCAGGTGGAGCAGAGTGAACGAAGGGTGAGGGGATAGGATTGAAAGAAGCAGACACTCTAAATTATAAAAACAGCATGAAGGAAAATTGAGGCGGTTGCGACTCTGGAGAACTTGATTTCCTAGCAGAGGAGTTAGTGCATACAATACTAATCACTACCTGTTGCCATCAAGTTGATTCAATTCCAATTCAACAGCCCTGGAGGTCAGAGTAGAACTCCCTCATAGAGCTCAAAGATGGTAATCTGCCTGGAAATATACCGCCACGTCTTTCTTTCTCCACCTTTCAGTTAACAGCCAGACTTTTTTTTTAAATCATTTTATTGGGGGCTCTGTCCACTTTTATCACAATCCATACATCTATCGTGTCAAGCACATTTGTACATATGTTGCAAGAAACATTTTCTTTCTTCTTGAGACATTAGTATCAGCTCATTTCCTACTCCCCCACACTCCCTCCCTCATGAACCCTTGATAATTTATAAATTATTATTTTTTTCATGCCTTCCACTGACCGCTGTCTCCCTTCACCCACTTTTGTGTTGTTCATCCCCCTGGGGTGGGTTCTATGTCAATCATTATGATCGGTTCCCCTTTCTCTCCCCACCTTCCCCTTACCCTCCTGGTATCCATTCTCTCATTATTGGTCCTGAGGGGCTTATCTGTCCTGGATTCCTGTGTTGCGAGCTCTTATCTGCACCTGTGTATATGCTCTGGTAACAGCCAAACTCTTGATCGCTGTGCCACTGGGGATCCATAGACTAAGCAAGAGGGAAACACAAAAGACATTTCTAAGAATTTCAATTCTTTAGAAGTTGCTAAATTTCCTCAGGAGAATTTATCACGGTCCCCCAAATCCAAATCTTCTGTGTGTGGAGTCGATTTTGACTCAAAGCAACCCTATAGAACAGAGAATTGCTCCTGAAGGTTTCGGAAACTAAATCTGTGTGGGAACAGTCAACCTGAGGAGGTCTTAATTATCAAGGCTACCACATTATCTTCACAGAATAATCCAGCAATCACACCATCAATCACCCTAATAAGTGATCTAAAAATCCAAATCACTAATCCCTCCTTTGAGTTGCATCTCAAAACAAGGCACCATTGAAATTTGCCAGTTGCCTTGGCAACTGAATCCTGTTGCCTCTGCCAATTCAATTCTCTATGTTAATATTAGTGTCATTCACCTGGGAGGGCAGAAGAGTGACCTTGAGGGAGTCACTCAAGTTTCTCTTGAGGTGTGCATGGGAGCAGGGTGGCAAGCACTTTCATGTGACTGAGTGACAATGAGAGACTGGCCTGGACAACCAGCCTATGTGGTTAGTCTTGGGGAGTGGCGATGGAGTGGGAGTCTCAGAGGTTCCGGTGCTGGGAAATGGGTCACTGCTACACCCCAGGTGTGGGAGAAGAGCTGGTATCAAAAGCTGTCTGTCTCTCACAGCCCTCTACTTTTCTGCTGGGAACTCAAATGCATTGCAATCGCCACACAACTCACAGACAATGCTCACAGTTGTGGGGTTTAATTGAGAAGTTCACAGGTTACAGATTACAATTCAGGTGGGAACTGCTCAGGTTGCAGTCGTCCAGTCAGGACAGATCCTTCCCAACTGTGCCCACAGGCGGTCTTCTTGCTGGCCTTCAACGTCCTGGTCTGGCCTCTGCCCTTATCGAGCAATATTACATAGCTCTTTTAGGACAACCAATGAATGACCAAAGGACATGCCACTCTGCTATAAGCATCTACCTGAAGGATCTAGGCTCCAATTCTGTGGGTCAGAACACCCAGCGCCTCCAATTAAGTGCTCAGAGGCGTCTCACTCCAGAAGCTAGTTTCTTGCCCCAAAGCGCTGTTTTACCTGCTTTAGAGACTTGGAGGTCCACCCCTCTGTCTCATACACTGGTTCCTTTTCTGCTTGGCCACTCCTTTGGGGTCAAAGTTCTCTCCTGAATTAAGGAATTTCCATATGCAAGAATTTGGCGGTCCAAAAGACACACTCTGTTCTTAGCGCTTCTCTTTGGCTGGTAGTATAAGCCTCCCTTCCTGCGTGGGCATTGGTTATTTTATACCCAGCATGAAGACAATCCCATTTAATCCTGTTATCAGTCACTCAAACATGAATCCTATTAGTGTCTGCCTCCACTTTATTTTACTCAGACCTATCTGGGAAGGGTAATCTGGTGGGAGTTACAAAGACTAACGTCTACGGCTAGCACAGCCTCATTAAATAATTCACTGCACAGGTGAGAACATAAAAAAAATTCCTTTCTTTCACTTCACAATTTCATAAGGTCATTTCTGAAAGGTATTGCTGATCAATCAATATGCACAAGCCATTATGAATTAAAACCATTACCTATATTTAGAAGCTGAAAATATCTCTACCTATATATATAGGTATATTTCTATCTATCTATCTATCTATCTATCTATCTATCTATCTATCTATCTATATCTGAAGAAGGATTTCAAAAAGTTCACGTAAAAATGGAATTAAAAGATAGTGGATTTTTCCATAAATGTTTGAAT